GTGAGCTTAAAGCAGGGCTGAGTTTATAACTAACTAATTATTTACAAGGTGTGATTTAAGAGGTACCAGGAAGGATTCTCTGTCTCAACACGGTTTCTTGGCCCAAATGATACAGCTTCTGAAATTCCACCATTAGAGAGATTCTTTTTTTTTTTTTAGGTAAAGGGTCACCTCCTTAACTAGTCCTTTTTGTTGGAATTAGATAATTCACTATGTCACTTATATTTTGTAAATTATTGTATTCAGTAGTCCTCCCCTCTGCTTCTGCTGATGTGTGTCTGTCTGTGGTAGTCGCTGGGCTATTGTTGTAGACCACTATAGACCTAGAGAGAGGGTTGGAGGTGGGCTGGGTAGGAAGCTTTGATGAGACTTCAAAATTTTGCACAGAGCTTTATTTTAACCAGGAGTATTTTGGGGGTACAGCCTTAGAATTCTTGATCTAAAATAGAGAATTTTTTCTTTCAGTGATCAAATTTTAAGACCCACATAAGTATTTTGATTGGCCCAGCTGTTATCCTGTGCCAGGCCCCTGGGGCCAGTCACTGTGAACATGGGTTTAAAGACTTGAGATTGGTCAGTTTGGGCCACATGCCTCAGGCACCCCGAAGGCAGTGGGTGGGTGGGAGCAAAAACTTAGGTGTTAACAATGGTTTGTGGCCTTCCCAAGGTCCACAGTACATAAACAGATAGGCAATATCATAGGGGGCAATTAGGAAAAAAAAAAAAATCTAAAAGGGCTCTTTGTGGGGGGACAACAATACAAAATAAGGTGAGAAACACTGTTCTAGATCCAAGAAAGTTGATGTATCTTAGGAAGATGTGGCCTAAAATGAAACAGATTTTATGGAACTAATGATCAGAGATGCAGAGTGATTTATGAAAATAGAAGCAGAATTTGAATCCAGCCCACCTTCTGGTTGTGGAAATGTACAAGTAACTTAACCGTTCTGCATCTCCATTTCTTTCTTTCTTTTTTTTCTTTTAAGATTTATTTATTTCAGAGAGAGAGAGAAGGCAGAGGGGCAGAGGGAGAGAGAATTTCAAGAGGACTCCCCATTTAGTGCAGACACCCCCTCCCTCCACAACAGAGCCTGACTCGGGGCTTGATCTCATGACGCAGAGATCAGACATGAGCTCAAGCCAAGAGTCTGACGCTCAACTGACTGCCACCCAGGTGCCCTGCATCTCCATTTCTTAATAGCGACCTTTATGCAGTCAATCCTCTCAACCGTTGGCCCCAGGCAACTGTTGACCTGCTTCCATCACTACATTTCTGTCCTAGAGTTTCATATAATAGAATCACGTAGTATGTAGTCTTTTGTTCTGATTTCTTTTGCTCACCATGTTTTCAAGATTCATCTATGTTGTTGCACGCATTAGTGCTTCATTTCCTTTTATTGTGAGTTGTATTCCACTTACCAGTTTGTGGGAATTGGGGTTATTTATATTTATTTGGGGCCAGAGAGCATTATGTATAATATTGTTATGAGCATATGTGTATGAGTCTTTGTGCGGACATTTGCTTTTCAAACATTTTTTCATAGTTCTTGATTCTTGGTTCCAGATGCGTTGGATACCACATATGCTACTTGGATAATACATACATAAACTATGTCATGAAAAACAAAAGACAAAAAGAGGAAAGGAAAAATACAAATGGATGAATTTGATAATTAAATTCTTTTTGAAATGCTGCATATCTTACATGTATTTACAGCTAGAAAGCGCATTATTTCAAAAAATATTAGAAGTGTAAAAAAATATATCAGAAGTGTAGAAAAGTATGTTAAATTAGTAAAAGGTACCCAAATATGTACAAAATAATCATACTACTGGTAAAATGTTACAAATTAATATATGATTATATAAAATACAATTTACTTTCAAAGTGTCTTTGGGAAAATTGCTTATAGAAATCTTAATTTAGAATCCCTAATTCAGAATATTAGGCAAAAAAAAATCATTAGGAAATTGATCATTAGGCAAACAGGTTTCAGGTAAATAAATTTTAGGCAAATTCACTTTAGGCAAATTTCATGGTTAATGGAAAGGAATTTGTGATTCATTTTACGTAGATGGCAAGAGGAGAGGTCAAAGCTGGACTGATTCTCAGATTTCTCTTGTGGTCTAGCAGGTGTGACAGGCGTCATTCATGGGCATGGTGAATCCAGGAATGGAAAGAGGAATCACTGTAGGGTATAAAGGGCAGATAATAAGTTTAGGTTTATTTGTGTTGAGTCTGAGTTGCTTGGGAGACTCCAGGTAGATGTGTCCAACAGGCAGTTAGGTTTATGGAGCTGGGGGCAGAAATCTTGCTGGAGACACGTATGGAGACATTAGCACACAGGTGTGCAGACATATGTGGACACGAGGGGGGCATTGTAGGGGCTGGAGAATCTCTGTAGACTTCTGTTCCAACATAAGAGACAATGAGGTGTTCCCTCCAGTCAGGTCTTCAGGAAGCTCCTCAGATGCTCCAGTACACCAGAAATGTCCCCATGGTCCTATGCTCAGGTGCATGTGGCCTTAGCTTGCCAAGTCGGGGGTGGGGTGGTGTCCTCTACATTGGATCCATGTCTGAACTCACTGGATATTTAGGGGTTGCTGTGTGTTGGAAACTATAAAGAAAAACTGAAAAAGACTGATTCTTGGAAACATCATTGGGGCATCAGTTCATTGCTTTGGAACTCCTCCCGCAGAGTATGACCTAAGAAGGAAGTGTGTGGAAGAGTAAGGCAGAGGCCTTTGTGTCCTTCCTATTACGTTACCTTCCTACTACCCACTTCTGGTTTTATTTGTAGCTGTGGTGGACTGTTCTGGTGAGCTCAGACTTATCTTGTCAACTTTGTGATGTCTGCCTTGGGTTCTTTTCTTGATTCCGTAGAAGCTCTTGTGGCCTGTGTGCAGTCATGGCTAGAGTGCTGGGGAACCAGTGCTCCCCTCACGTGGTGGCACTGGGAGCCATGGATCACCCTCAGTGACAGCACTGGAGGCACCCTCTACACTTCCTAGGGGCCCCGGTTGAACCCTGTTCCTTAGGATGGCAACATGGATAACACATCTTAAACTTGCTCTTCTTTCTTCCCTGTCTCACTCTCTCATTCTTTAACTGTAGATTCTTGGAGCATGTCCCACATAAGTCACCTGCACCCAAGTCCTCACCTCAGGCTCTGTTTTTGGGGGAGTCTACCCTAAGATAGCTAGCTTTGTCCACTCTTCAACAAAACACTGTCAGTTTGGCCTTGAAGGAAGGAAGACTGGTGCCCAGCAGAAGCAGCAGGGTGCCCAAAGGATGCAGCAACACCCAGCCTCGGGGGTGGGGAGGTGGGTGGGACAGGAGGTGAAGGGGGAAACTGGAGTTGACCTGCAGCAGCTGCAGGCTGTGGGCTGAATGTGTCCATGAGCACATGTGTTACTCCTGGAGAACTCTGGAAGTATTTGGAAGCAGCTTTGCTGGGAGCTGGGAATCTGCATTGTCAGAAATGGGAAGGGCAGGTGAAACACTGGTTATGGAAAGATTTGTTATCATCACAGTATATTGGTTGTGGAGGCACTGAACAATGACAGTGAGTAAAATTTCCTAGGAATAGCTCAGTGGTTCTCAACCTTTGCTGCATATCAGAATCACCTGAGGAACTTTAAGAAATACAAGCATACCCAAAGGAGAATCTCTAGGGATCTGGCCATGCCTATGTTCCAAAATTCCCCGGCTGATACTGGTACTCAATCAAATTTGACAACCTCTGTTCAAAAGTGGGACAGAAAAAGGCCAGGGACAGAAGTCTAAGGAGGCATTAACGCTTAAGATGCAGGCAGAGAAAGGCGAGTCTGTGAATGAAGGTGAGAAGGAGCAGTGAGAAAGTCAGAAAGTCTCGAGGAGGTAGGCAGGCCCAGTGGGGGGAAGTTGAAAAAGGACCTTGGGTGGTGACAGCGGTAGGAGTGGCGTCAGGGAAGCTGGGGGGTGGATGTCAGGTCTCAGCAGATCAAGGAAGGAATTGGGGGGTACACAGTCACTTTCCCATGGCTCACAGGTCACACCCTGTCTCCCACCAAATCGTAACCAGCTCATAGGAGAGTACATGTGACAGCGAGCATGGGGTGGGCGTGGCGTGGGGGGAGGAGGTTAGTACAATCCCCAGCGCCAGGGAGACTGAGGTTGTGTCACTGCTAGTAAAGGACCCAGGAGAATCTCTAATAGGGACAAATCTCCAAGAAACTAAGAAGAAAAAAGACTTTGAAAAAATGAAGCACTCCAAAACAGTGGACGCAAAGAGCGGGACCGAATTTTGATTTTTTTAAATGAAGGATGTCTAACTAACATCCCTTACCCTCTTGGGTGGCCTTCAGGCTGCAGCCCCTGGCATCACGTCACACCCCATGGGGGGCTGTGGCCCCTGGGAGGGAAAACTCCGCTTCCAGCATCTTCTCCGTCACACTTGTCTTGCTTTGTAGCGCCGTGGCCTCTAGATGGCGACAAATCTCCATCTTAGGAGCCTCCCCTCCCTGGCGTGAGGTCCCTCGGAAAATTGCTTTCTGGTGCAGAGAAATCAGAGGCATTTCTTCCGAATTGACTGGAAGCTGCTGAGACAGCTCTTCCTTGACTCTTAGTTCTTGAAAGGCCTCTGAAACACTGGCGAGAGAGTCCAGCGTTCGGAATATTGAAATGTAAGCCGGGAAGGCGCTGCTGTGTTTATGAGTAGCCGGGAGGTGGGAGATGTTGGTAGGGGGTGCGGGCTGTGAGGAGCTCGCAGGGCAGCTCCCCTGCTCCTCAGGAACTGCCTCTCCCCTGTGCTCAGTGCCTCACAGTTCTTACCCTTCTTAGCAGGAGCATGGCATTCATCCCCTTGCAAGGTAGCCAACACTAACATGAGCCAACCTTTCTGTTTTTGTTTTGTGAACTTTTCTGCCCTATGCTGTCATGGGCTGAGCGCTTTAGAAATCTCATTCGACCCAGCCTTGTAGGTTCTATTATTATCTTGTTATTTAAATAAGTGAAATACTTGGCCAGAGTCAGTCACGGATCAGTGTTACGGCTGGGATTTGATTCTAGAGCTTGAATTCTTAATCACTATATTGCTTTAAGGACGATGTCTAAATACCCTCCAGCCTCTGGGAAAGGAGCCCTGGGGTGAGTCAGAGGTGAGTCAGTGGTCCCCGTGTCTGGGGAGAGCAGCTGAGGACATGGGGCTCCGGCTTTCTGAAGGGGGTATGGGGGCACCCTGGAGAGGGTAGAAGAGTTCCAAAAAGAGCCAAGATGTGTGTGGGAGCCAAAGATGAGATGATTTTCCTTCTCAGTGCACCTTGGTTTGGGACTGGGTTGTTAAGGGTGGGTAGATGACACCAGCAAATGCATTCAGTATTTTTAGTGTGAGAGTCAATGACTTTCTTGGAAAACAGTCAGCAAAATGGCCTGTTCAAAGCAGTAAGCAAATCAGATCCGATCCTGAAACAGAATGGGCAGTTGCTGGCCTCTTGTGTCTTTGGGTGGGGGCAGCATTGGTTCCTGGGTGAGTGTCAGAGAAAGGTGACATGAGACACAGGAACCAGGAGAGCTTGGGGTCAGGCTTGGTGCAGATGTCTCTGCTGTGTACTTCCTACAGGGGAGGCACCAGGATGAATTTTCAGATTTTGCTTTGGAGAATGCAGACAACAGAGTTGAGGTCATATTATCTGCCCTTTCCCCATTTTGCCTTTAGAATGATTAATAATGTTAAAAATTTGTCATTTATTGGTTATGTGCTTCCTACGTGTCTGGCTCTGTAATGGGCCATCTATGTGCATTGTCTCATTTAGTTCTCATGCAACACCATGGGGTATTACTACCTCTCTTCTACAGATGAGGACACAGGTTCAGAGAGGTTAAGTAACTTCCCCAAGGTCACACAGGGAGTGTCAGAGGCCTGGTCTCTCTGACTTCAGGGCCTTGCTCTTAACTACTCTCTTAGGCAGCTTCTTCTCTACCTTTAGCTGGGACCATCAGAGTGCGACCCCTCCTGGAGGCAGAAGCAGAGACGTAGGGACAGGTGCATGATCTTTGCTAGAACTCTAAAATCACAGGCTCCTCTATGTCTCTCCAGAGCCAGCAAGATTCGGGCTGCGAGGAAGTGAGTGAAATGTAAAGGGAGCTTTTGAAAACCCCAGAACTGTCAGGCCTGAAGGAATGACAGCATTTCTACCCAGGAGCTGTGATTGTGGGAGAGAGGTGTGTGGGCTGGGAGGAGGCTCTGTGCCCTGGAATGAAATCCTGAGGTTGGCCACTTGTTTCTAGTCGTTTGCCCAGCTATATGGCTACTGTTAACTCTATTACTACCTTATTCAACTGCCTATAATTAATACCAGCATTAATACTTGTAACACCTTAATTGCAGCGGGGGGCTGCCGTGCATGGGACAGCTCGATCCTGGGGATCACTGGGGTGACAGACTTTGCAGCCACCTTTGCCTTACCCCCCTTCTAGTGCTCAGAGGGCTCTTACTGTGTTACCAACACTCATCCTAAAAATGCTGTCAATAGCTGTTTTCCCCTTTTCCCAGGGATTCTGAAATATTTTGCATGTGTTCTTCCTACTGAGAGATAGAAGCTGTGCTACAGTTTATCCCCATTTACGAGATGGATGACCTCAGGAACAAACGGGCATCTGAGCTTTGCTTCCACATACAGCCTCCTTTCATATACTATGTTTCTCTCCAGAGAGAGCAAAAATACAGAAAGACAGAAGCCTTATTTATGGAAATATAGAGGAAAACATTTCGAACATCCATTTTTATCAGCGCTGCATTTTTCTACTTAACATTAATCCTTTGTTTCATTTGTATTCTTTTTTTAATTTAAAAATTTTTTTTTATTTTTTAATTTTTTTATTGTTATGTTTATCCCCATACATTACATCATTAGTTTTTGATGTCGTGTTCCATGATTCATTGTTTGTGCATAACACCCAGTGCTCCATGTAGAACATGCCCTCTTTATTTTTTTTATTTTTATTTTTTTATTTTATTTTATTTTTTTAAAGATTTTATTTATTTGAGAGCGAGAGAGAGAATGAGAACACGAGAGGGGGTAAGGTCAGAGGGAGAAGCAGACTCCCTGCTGAGCAGGGAGCCCGATGTGGGACTCGATCCCGGGACTCCAGGATCATGACCTGAGCCGAAGGCAGTCGCTTAACCAACTGAGCCACCCAGGCACCCAGAACATGCCCTCTTTAATACCCATCACCAGGCCAACCCATTTTCCCACCCCCCTCCCTTCTAGAACCCTCAGTTTGTTTTTCAGAGCCCATCGTCTCTCATGGTTCATCTCCCCCTCCGATTTCCCCTCTTCATTCTTCCCCTCCTGCTCATTTGTATTCTTTACTAGAAACACATACCCACGTTAGCAAAGAAAGAAAATTAAAACCTTGTCAATCATAAAAATGAGTCGATTGTCTAAATGTTTTTATCTGAATGGTTTTATCTAAATGTCTTTATCTAAATGTTAGCTTGATTTTTCTTCTCCATATACTTTTAAGGAAAATTTGTGTTCCTTCAACCTATGAACTAATATTTTTAAAAATTATTTATTTATTTATTTTTTAAAAGATTTTATTTATTTGACAGAGAGACAGACAGCGAGAGAGGAAACACAAGCAGGGGGAGTGAGAGAGGGAGCAGGAGCAGCAGGTTTCCCGCTGAGCATCGGAGCCCGATGCGGGTCTTGATCCCAGGACCCTGGGATCATGACCTGAGCCGAAGGCAGACGCTTAACCGACTGAGCCACACAGGCGCCCCAACATTTTTTTTAAAAAGATTTTATTTATTTATTTGACAGAGAGAGACACAGCCAGAGAGGGAACAAAAGCCGGGGGAGTGGGAGAGGGAGAAGCAGGCTTCCCGCGGAGCAGGGAGCCTGATGCAGGGCTTGATCCCAGGACCCTGAGATCATGACCTGAGCCGAAGGCAGACACTTAACCGACTGAGCCACCCAGGCACCCTTGAACTAACATTTATTAAGCTCTATGTATGTGCATAATTCAAGGCTCTGGGGGGCTGTTAAGGGTACAGGTTTGTGTATATTTTCCCTCCATAGAAGTGCTACGGTCTAGCCAGGAAGAAACCTGCCTATCCTTGGTAATGTCAAAAGACATCGCTTCTGTTGTTGGCTGTGATAGATGAAAGGCATGGATAGGTCCTCTAGAACTTCACAGGGAAGAAAGAGCTCCTTGAGTGGGCTGTTCAGAGAGAGGCTCTGGGAGGCAGGGATCATTTATTATCCATTCAACAAACATTTGTTGTGCTAGCTGCTGAGCAGCTTGCTGAGGCTCTGGTGATGAATTAGAACAGCTCTTTGAGGGACTCCCACATGGAGAGGGAAACAGAGAGCTAGGCAGTTACAATCCAGACCCAGGGAACCAGGAAACCCTGAAGAGTTTGTGTGTTAAGTGTGGCCAAAGGGGGGAAATGGAGGGGGTGCCTGGAAATGTGAGGACTACGGGGACTTCTGTCACTCGTAGGGAAGCCCTTTTGCAAATCCTGCCAACGTGCCCTGAGTGCCAGTGGCTGCCCTGAAGGTGATCGATTTTTTTTTCTATTTTTACATTTATTTTTTAATTCACATACAATAAAATCCACTCTTTTTGGTGAGTTTTGGCAAATTCATCATTGTTTGACCACCATCACAATCATGGCACAGTACAGTTCCATCGTTCCTCCCGAAAAATTTCCTCCCACTTCTTTGTAGTCAAGCTCTTTCTTAGCCCCAGCCCTGGAAACCACTGGTCTGTTCCCTGACCTCACAGTTTGTCTTTTCCAGAGTGTCATATAAATGGAACCATATGGAATGTAACCTTTTGAGCTTGGCCTCTTGCACTCAGCATAATACATCTGAGGTTCGTCCACGTTGTTGCCTGTATTGCTCGTTCTTTTTCACTGCTGTGTTGTGTTCCAGCGAATGGATGTACCACAGTGTGTTTCTCCATTCCCAAATTAAGGGGCCTTCTGGTTATTTCCAGTTTTTGGTGATTGTGCATAAAGCCACTATAAACATTTTCATATATATATATTTTTTAATAAGAAAGCATTTAAGATTTCTAATTATTTATGTTCCAGCTACTGTTCTTTTATTTAAGATTTATTTATTTGAGAGAGAGAGAGACAGAGAGAGCACCAGCAGGGGGAGGGGCAGAGGGAGAAGCAGGCTCCCCACTGAGCAGGGAGCCCGATGCGGGGCTCGATCCCAGGACCCTGGGATCATGACCTGAGCAGAAGGCAGACGTTTAACTGACTGAGCCACCCAGGTGCTCCTCATGTTGGTTTTTGTGGGAACGTAGGATTCATTTCCTTTGGGTAATTACTGAGTGATTATCTAGGAGTGGGATTGCTGGTTTGTATGGTCAGTATATATTTAACTTCGTAAGAAACTAGTGAAAGAGAACATAAAACTAAAACAAAAACAAACTGTTTTATAGTGCCTGTACCTACCTGCATTCCTACGAGGCCGTCTGAGAGTTCCTTTTTCTACACATCCTCACATGTTGTTTCTTGTGTTGCTGATTTTAGCCATTCTGACTGGTGTGAGGTGGTATCTCATTGAGGTTTTGATTTGCATTTCCCTGATGATGAATGATGTTGAGCATCTTTTCATGTGTCTGTTGGCCATCTGTATTCTTCTTTAGAGAAATGTCTGTTCATGTCTTCTGCCCATTTTTAAATTGAGTTATTTGTTTTTTGAGCGTTGAGTTTTAGAAGTAGTTGAGTTTTAGGAGTACTTTATATATTTTGGATACTGACCTTTATCAGATATGTCATTTGCAAATATCTTCTCCTATTCCATAGGCTGACTTTTAGTTTTGTTGATTGTTTCCTTTGCTGTGCAGAAGCTTTTTATTTTGATGCGGTCCCCGTAGTTTATTTTTGCTTTTGTTTCCCTTGCCTCAGGGGGCCTATCTAGAAAAAGTTGCTATGGCCCATGTCAGAGACATTACTGCTTGTGCTCGTTTCTAGGGTTTTTATGGTTTCAAGTCCCACATTTAAGTCTTTTAATCCATTTGGAGTTTATTTTTGTGTTTGGTATAAGAAAGTGGCCCAGTTTCATTCTTCTGCATGTTGCTATCCAGTTTTCCCAATACCATTTGTTGAAGACTGTCTTTTTTCCATTGGATATTC